TATACTTGTGCGTATATATATATATATATAATATATATAAATAAATAAATATATATATATGGTGAGAATTTATAAATTATATCTTGTGTGTATGTGTATATAAATAGCGCTGAACCATGAAAAATTGAGTTGAGCTTAAGTCCATCTCTGCATAAATTATGTTGATGTGTTTATCAGGCATGGTCAAATTTCAATAAAGATAAACTTTGTAAATTTTAGAGCCATATATATATATATATATACATATATATATAGACCACCCAATACAATAAGGATTATATATACATTTATATGCACTTATATATATGAGTGTGATGATTTATAATTGCGTTATGTTGTATGATGATATTGAAAGCTTTTCTTTGTCTATATGCAAATCTTTGCAATTTTAAGTATAATATATATATATATATATACATAGGTGGTAATATATAAATGATGTAGTTTTATATAGTTATTTAAGAATATCAAACATTTTCAGCAATAATCCACTTGTAGTTCAGTTTTCCTTAGAAGACATTTATCACTTTCATGTAATTTACTCAAGTATTTTTGAAAAAAAAATATTTTCGGTTTTTTTCGGCAAATATGATTTAGTTTCGGCCGAAACCGAAAAACGGCCGAAACTGAAATATAACATTCGGCCGAAACCGAAAAACGGCCGAAACTAGAAAAATTGGCAGTTTCGGCGCCGAAACCGAATTTCGGTCGGTCTCTACATGCCACACACCTTTGAAAAAGATTTTCTTTTGAGTGTAGGTCATTGAAATAAAAAAATGCTGCGGAGCACACATCTAAGCAGTATTCTGTAGGTTCAGACAATCCACCTCGGTCCTGCAGCTCAATGACTTTTGTGTGCTCTCCAGAATTCTCTTTGTCACAAAATCGGTCCACCAGATTTTCTTTGCAAGACTCACATTTCGTTTTTCTACTGATCGACCTTCCAATGTACCCAGAGGTGTATATGAGGGGCAGCATATCTTTTGGATCAAGATCAGTAGGATCATCTGCCAGCTCGTCACGCAACCACGTCCATTCTAAAGTAGTGGAAGGAACAGTTTTTTCAGTAAAGGCTAGCTCCTCAAATACGCCTGACCTTATAGCAGTTAGAGTACGAATTTTTTTTCACTTTCCATAATTTGACGCACACTTATATAGAAATTGGCACCATTGAGTTGGCGGTACCAACCAAACCGCCCCTCGATGCAATCAGATGTCCATTTTCCAAGAAGACAGTAGGTAATTTCATCATAGTTTTCAAAAATATACGAGCAGAGTTGTGAAATTCCTCTAAACGTTTGCACGCAGGCTGTGAAAGTTTGGGATGTTAATTCACCTGCCTTTGTGCTTTTGTTCCACCTTTCAAAATAGTCTGCCGCATCAAGTAGATACTTTAACTGCCAATCAGTAGGAGAACTGACAACTTCCAAGTACTTGTTTAGATTGTATTTTCCTGAATAAATTATACACAAGCATTTAGCAAAAATCTTAATTGGTTAAAGCTTATCAAGAAAATATACATGTAGCTCTAATGAAATCACATTTTAAAGTTTATTATGCAATTGAATATAATTAAAGATAAAAATGGTACAAAAAAGCAAAAGGAAATCACTCTATAAATACAAAAAATAATTATACTAGCAGAGATTTTTAAAAATTTATTGCAACTAGACATATAAACATAGACTTCACCTTAAAAAGAATGTCTCACTCCTAAGATATTCCATAGTCTGTTTATATACTCTAAGAACATTGCAGTGTCATTCCATCCTTTTTGTCCATAGAACCAGCTAGCAAAGTGACATAACTCTTCAGCTTGGTTGTAACAATCTCAAAATGATGGCGTAAAACAGCAGGGTTAAGACCAGCAACCGCTTTCAATCCTACTACATCTTTATATTTGCAACACAGCGATTGAATCATAAAACACAAAACAGTTCTAGCAACTTCTCCATTTTCTGTCAAACCAAAGACAGACCCGTTAAAATACTTCAGTCGCTTTGCAGTGTGAATTTCATCACATATCAACATGACAATTTTTCTGACTCAGAAAGTGCTTTCAACCTTGCTTCTAAGTAAGGTTGGTTAAGATCTTCAACATTTTCAGCAAAAACAGAAGACAATTGCTGAATTCTACGAACACTAGGAAGAATAAACAATTCTTTTAGAGTTTCATGAGCTTAGGGCTTGTCATTTGCCACAAAAATGAAACAGTTAGTAGTTTGTTAGAATATTTTCTAGCTTGTTTCTTGACTAAAGTCAGCTTTAGCTGGGCCTTTACAAATTCCAACAATGGTGCTAAATCACCCAAACAGCCCTTCTCTATAATTATTCCCAATAATTGATTAATGTTGTTCATAATAGAACAAACTTCCTCTTCACAGAGCTCATCTTCGTTATAAGTGTTCTTCATAAAAGCTAACAGATTAGAGAAATGTGTAGTGCTATTAATAGTATTTTCTTTTGATAACAAATGCATGTACTTTGATAATCCTACTTCAACGGAAATCTTTCCAACATATTTATAAATGGTAACTGTTAAGTCGTTCGCTACAGTAATTGACAAAGTAATGTCGAGAGGCTCTTTCTCTTTATTATTATTAATTAGTACATAGGACAGATGAGTGTTCATTTTGATACATATATAACCTTCAGGAATTAAAGTGTCTTTAATTTTCTCAACAAAATCATCAAAACAAGTTACCTTTTCTTCTTCCATCACAAGATTCTGAATAACTCCATATCTGTCATTCACTAATGCCACTCGAGATGCCGCAGAAGCACGGGTAGATCTTTGAGGTACCCTTGGACTGCTCAGATAAGCTGGACAATTTGGTAGCTTGCTAGGAACAGCAAAAGGTTTCAAACGATTTAAGTTTAGCTTAACAGGATTGCTTTTACGACGAGTTTCATTTGTATCCACTCTATCTAACTGTATGTTTTCATCCTAAAAATGTAACTCACACAGTCGATGATTTTTGGTGGGACGGAAATCCTTCAGCGATAAAAAACGTATCCATTTGTCCAATAAAATCGGATCACTGAATGGCAATCTAAAGAGTCTTAATTTTCCGACGCTTGTATTGGATTTATAACCAGTTTTACAACCCGGAGCGCAACACTTATAAACCATTTTAAAGAACAATCCGTAATTATAGTAAAAAGTTAGAACTACTAAATTTTACAATAAATTTTACAAAAAATACAATGATTTAAATTTCGTATTTACGAACGAGACACTAAATAAACACGAGACACGAACGAGATAATAACTAAACTGCAGCACGAGGTGTGTTGAAATGAAAAGAAAATTATTAAAGGAGAATCTATGTTTTAATCATTCATTAAAACAATAGTCATATCAAATATCAAAACTATATAAAAAATTTAAAAAAAGGAGTTATTAACTTAATAATAATCTGCACAATTAAAATTACGTACTAATTCAATTAATTTTGTCATAAAAGTATGTGATATAATGAAGATTTTACCATAGGCCTCCGATTGTAAAGGAAGGAAAAAAATTTCTTTCGCTTGTGCTTCTCTGTTACTACGTTCCCATATATATATATATGTATATATATATATATATATATATATATATATATATTCAACTTAAATATGACACAATCTTTAAAATAATTTCTTCATAAATTTATTATACATGATTTAAAACACTTAGCAATCAGAAAGTATTTCTTCTAAATGTACAACACTCTTGCACAGCAGATGATCTTTTTAAATTTAAAAAGCGTGAGACAAATGTAGAAGTTCTAAAGATGAAGTTTATTTGATCATTAATGATAAGAGAGTAGATTGGGGACAAAGAGATTTCAAAGAAATGATATTGGTAGCTGTAACATTGCTTGCTTAATGCTGACGATACGTGAAGATAAAAAATTTGAAATGGTAGAGCAATTGAAAATTGAAAAAGTTACGTCACAGGTTTTGCATAAAATCAAAATTTGAATTGGGTTGATAATGATGCTTGATGTCATAATGATTTGTTTATCTGCTTTACAGTTAGTTTTTATAAATTTTTTTCAGATTTTATGCAAACTAAATTATAAATAAATTATTAATTGTTTCAGCTGGTGAAATGTTGTCTGAGGCCTCTCAGTTCTTAGAACAACAAATGCATCCAAGCATCATCATTGGAGCCTATAGGCAGGCCCTTGAAGATCTGCTTGACATTCTCAAAGATAAAGTTTGAAACGTTTTGTTTGCACCATAAATTTATGATGGTCATGTTTTTTTTGAAATATATTTAATTATTTTTATCAAAATCTAGGTGAGCACAGTTGTTGATATTAATGACAGAGAAAAGATGAAAAGTATCATAGGCAGTTGTATCGGCACAAAATTCATCAGAAAGTGGTCAGCATGTGATTTTTGTATCCGTTATCATGTTTGATTCACTTTATGTGTTCACGTTTGCTTCGACTCATTTGTTTAATTTGGTGAATCTTTCATTTCTTCTCAATAAGTAAGCTCAAGAGATTATTTATTGCTTATTTATTATTTATTGCTAAGCTGTAAGGCTGGTCGTTTGTTGAAAATTATCAATTTGCATGACAGTAATTTAAAAATAAAAAATCCTTGCAAATAATTCTTTCTGAAAGCACGTTCAAGTTTCAATCACTTTTAATGTGTTACCTAATTTACCTGTAACTAACTCAATTTTGAAACGAATTGGTCAAAATGAACGTTGGTGGGATTAGATGTATTTTGTTATGGATGTGTGTATTTTATAATACATTCTCATTTAATACATTTACATACAATATAATTAATATTTTTATGATCTTAAATCACTTGTGCCTGCTCTATTTCCTGTCTTGTGTGCAAATCACATGTCCTCCCAACATTTGCTTCTTCTTAATTCATTTGACCAGGGCCGACCTTGCAAGTGAGATTGCCTTAGATGCTACGTACACAGTCATGCAGGATGACAAGGGCAGGAAAGAAATTGACATCAAGAGATACGCCAAAGTTGAAAAGGTAAGTGTTCCCTTTATTGTCATTAACTTCAACTGTGTAAAACAGGGAAACCCCATTTCAATAGGCAACATGATATCCATGCCTTTTAAATTTTATGTAATTATAACCATAAATTTAAAACTGATTATAAATTAATTGTAAGCTAAAAAACTAAATGTAAATTTGAATCTTGAATTTTATTTGTGAAAATTGCATGTTGCTATTGTAAACCAGTTGCAATTTTCAAAGGAAGTTAATATATTATGACAAATAAAAATAGCAGATAAAATTGTTCTATTATTATATTTTGGTATAAAATTTCAACAATTGTCAAGTTACTAGAGATCTTTTGAATGCAACTATGATTGTTAGGGAAGTCTGTTTATCACTTTTGTCATCATTATTGAATCTGTTATTCGTTTATTGCATTCACGGTGACCAACTTATTGAACAGTTTAGTTTCAATTTGCTCCTCAGCATCTTAATTTCAAGTCTCTTTAATTTCAGTTTTCATATCTTTAGAGCCATGTACCCTGTTCATTGTATCTCTTGCCATTTCGTTGGCGTCTGCAATGATTAAATATATGTGTGATGATTGAAGACTGACAATCTGAATTTTCTTACCACTCTGAACAAGTAAACATATAGTAGGATGAAGTGAACCATTTTCTGCAAATAATTAAACACTTAGATAAAGTCATAGGACCAATACAATGATTTCTGTAATGTGACTGGAATTTGATTTGAAATGATTTGAAATTTTACACCCCACCACAAAGATTCCAGGAGGATCCATAGAAGATTCCAAAGTCCTCAAGGGTGTCATGCTCAACAAAGATATTGTTCATCCAAAAATGAAGAGGTTATTTTATACTTTGTCATATAATTGAATTCCAATTAGCAGTTGCAATTTTTCAATCAAATTTGCAACAATTATTTCAAAGAAATTGCAAGTTATTTTATAATTTCCGTTGCAGACGCATTGAGAATCCACGAGTTCTCTTGCTGGATTGTGGATTGGAGTACAAAAAGGGAGAAAGCCAGGTATACATTTTGTTACATGATGTTTTCTAATACTAGAGTTGTACCCAATTTCAATTATACTAATCCAGCACCTTACAAACACAAATCTGGTTGAAACTTCATTTGTTTTTCAGTTAAATTTAATGTTATGAATTTTGTCAAGAGATTCATTGACTAGTTTTTATTGCTTTCTAGCTCAGCGTGAAATCTTGTCAAATTGCCTCTCAAATAACCTATTAAATTAAGTTTAATTTAATACTATTTGAATGAATACTTGTTTAAAAAAAGAATATAACCAAAATCAAAAATTCTACTTGACCAATCATCTGATCTTCCGTATGATTAGTAATTAAGGAATTCCACTATTGCGTTTGTGACAGTTGTGTTTCTTTAGGAAGTTGACTGTTCATGTTAATCACCACCTTTCAGTCCACTCTGAATTGCAAACATTCCATCAGACAAAAAATGAGCAAAACTCTTGTAATAGGCTTGTATTGTCTACGAAATTCAGTCAACAATGAGCACATTATATTTCAAAAAGATCAGTCTAGAACTTTTTTAGGAGGCCACGGACTGAGATGGTCACTATTATCACACCAGTTACACTAAACATGCGCTCAAATTGACGTTGGCTGATGTTGAGTTTAAGAGACTCAGACAGGTACTTTGCAATTTCAGAGTCAGTGCCTTCAGCTACATCTTGTTATGCATTGGTTTCAGCATTCTGCACAGTTTCGTTAATACATCCTCACACATTCTCACAATGCTGACTGACATTTTTGTTGTTATGATTGTTTTGCTGGTACTGTTAAGTTTTATGCTGAATCTGGTTTTTAATGAGCTGCATGCCTGTCTGCTGGGATGAGCCTGGTTTTCCAAAGAAACACGTGCTGTCTGGTTTTTAACGTTGAAAAAGTATCTTCGTTTTGTATGTGTTGTTGTCGCGACAGTGCAGCTCAAGTTTTTGTAAAAATTATTATTTTATTTTGTCTGAAACTTTGGTGGGAATGTTGAAAGAAAGAAAGTCAGATTAAATCTAAAATCCAATTCAATTTTGACTAGCTTGGAAACATGGCCAAGCTGGGTCAGAGGCTAATTCCTGTACAGATGTTAATAATGCAGAAAGAATTTGTTTTTTTGTCCTGTTCATATTTCATTCTGTGTACTGAATTGCTGATTTAACTCTGTATATAGTAATACAAAATAGAATGTTTTCAATCTTTTGATTAAATTTTAAACTTCAAATTTATTTTTATAGTTCCTATTTAAGTGTATTCAAAATTTTTCCGATTTCTATATAACTTCAAATGTTTGTTTATATTTTGCTTTCAATTACCAGACGAATATTGAAATAGTGAAAGAGGAAGATTTCAGGTTATATGTTTTTTAGTTGTGTTAGACTTTTTTAATGAAATCTTACATATCTTATTTGCCCATTTGCCTGGCAAGTTTCCCCAGATGGTGGGGGCGCCACACCGTGCATTATTGTTATTGACTGTTGACTTCCACAAGCAAAAAACCTCATATCTCGAATGTATGATGCAATGCTTGACGGTGCATGCAGTTATGTTATCTATGTATTGTATGTATGTGTGTGAATATTACAGTCTTTTTGGCACAATGGTTTGTTACAACCAGTGTGAAGAAAGATTTGTAAGCGGCTTCGTGTTTGTCAGTTCAGTAATAATTACAAAAAATATTGAAAAATAAGCCCTCTATAAATTGTTTCAACTTTGTTCATAAAATATAAAACATGTGCTTATTTTAATAAATTTTATGATTGAAAAATTTTTTTTATACCAAAAGCTGATTATTTTTGTCAAGAAATTATAACATTTAAGCAAACTCTCACGTCAAGTCAGTTACAGACAGTATTTGTAATTTTTTTAATCCTTCTTTGGAAATTGGTTATGAATTTTTTGTATGATCACGGGAAATGGATCTATAGCCTTTTTATTTCTGTTATGGCAACATTAATTAAATAATTAGGAGAATTATTTCTTCTATCTAGTCGATTTTTTTCATTTATTTGACTTGATCAAAATTTTAATTACACAAAAACTAAGGAAAGTTTGAACTTCTTCTTGTCACTATATTTGAGCTTTTACTCGAAATATTATTTTTATCAGTTCTTAAAAAATTTTAGTACGTTTTTTAAATCTGTTAAAATAAAAATATGCATTGCACAGAACAATGAATTTGGAAAGTTGCGTAAAATTTGGTCGAATAATATTTGCACGCAGTCGTTTGTTGGAACTGGAGGAGGAAATGATCCAATCGATGTGTTCTGACATCATAAGATTCAAGCCAGATGTGGTCGTAACAGAGAAAGGGGTGTCTGATCTCGCCCAGCATTATCTGGTCAAGGCCGGAGTGTCAGTGATCAGAAGGGTGAGGAAGTCAGATAACAACAGGATTGCCAGGTTTCTTTGTAATTTTTATTTGGTAGATCAAAAAAAAAAGAATTAATTTGAGTAGCACAGACAGTATGGTGGGATTTTTGTTGTACATTCACTGAAATATCATTGAAATATCAAATTAATTTTTTCCGTTTATTTTTCCAATAGAGCCACTGGAGCTACCATTGTCAATCAAACCAGTGAAATAAAAGAGGAGGACATTGGAACCAAGTGTGGCCTCTTCGAAATCAGCAAGATAGGAGATGAGTATGTATCTGCATTTAACCATTTGATAAAGTTCAAGGGATATCCCGGGGAACCGGGTCTCTGGACGCAAAACGAAGATTGATTGATTTATTTGTAGATTTGCAGGCGTTTGTGGTAAAAACATCTGAACAAGTAGAAAACAAAATTAGTTGATTTTTTTCTAGCAATTGTAAGTATTGAAAGTACTTATAGAGACTAAGCAAATATGAACGTGAACGTTTACTTAGAGATGTTCTCAGTTTTAGAGCTGCTAAACATTAGTTCGCCCTGGATATCCTAAACAATTTATTGAGTTGATAGTTCATGTGAAACGTCCTACCTCGGGAAACTGGGTCTCTGGACGCCAAACGAAGATTGATTGATTGATTAATTGATAGTTCATGTGACAATTCTAAACAATATTTTTAATTTTGTGACTACGATTCCCGTTTGTTAACATTTGTAAGAAGATGGATGATTAATGCATTGTGATGTTGTGACCGCCGACAGGTACTTCACTTATTTCGTGGAGTGCAAGGACCCGAAAGCATGCACCATCGTTCTTAGAGGCGCCAGCAAGGAAATTTTGAGTGAAGTGGAGAGGAACCTGCAAGATGCTATGAATGTGGCCCGTAATGTCATGATTGATGGCAGGTTGGTCCCTGGAGGAGGAGCTGTCGAAATGGCTCTGGCTCAAGTGGGTGGCATACGTACTTTAGTTATTTTATGTTATAAATTATATACTATGCAGATTATCCTTAAAATTCATGGCGTTGTGTATCGTTAGCTGTTTAATTTGTTCATCATGACATGTATTTTTGCTATGCCTATGCATCATCTCAATTTTATTCTAGGGTTTAGTGAGGAATCCACAATTATTTGAATTGTTTTTAATGTAAGTAACTGTCTTCAATTCAACTATAAATATCAGGCTTTGAATGAGAAAGCAAAGTCAATAAATGGAGTGCAACAATGGCCATACCGTGCAGTTGCTCGAGCCCTCGAAGTCATACCCCGGACACTCATTCAAAACTGTGGTGCTCAACCTATCAGGGTTCTTACAACTCTCAGGGTATGTTCACATGTTCGTTACGTGCCCACCTCGTCGTTATTTCACACATGCTTTATCCATTGTCGTTGTTGAGCAACAATTTTGTGTTCAGTCTGTTTGGGAATCAGTTGGACACCGTTGTATAGTACAGTTTATAAAATACAACTGCGCCTAAATACGTTGCACAATTTCATTGAATCTCATCAGGCGAAACATGCTGTTGATAATAACTGCAGCTGGGGAGTTGATGGAGACACCGGGGTGATCGTGGACATGAAAGAGAAAGGTATCTGGGAAGCATACTCCGTCAAGGCGCAGACGTACAAGACTGCCATTGAGGTTGCCACGATCAAACCTTATACATTTTATTTCATAAGGGCAAATTTATTCAACTGAAAATTATCTTGAATTTTAATTCAATTAGTTATGCAGAATATTGTTACAAGATATAAACAATTTAATTTAAGTTGTTGTTTTTGCGAATGAAACAGACTGCACGGTTGTTACTGAGGATCGATGACATCGTGTCAGGATTGAAGAAGAAGAAGGATGACCACCACCAACCGGCTGCCAAGGAAAATGAAGCGCCTGAGAACTAATAAACTACTTTTAATTTATAATTAATTATTCGTTAGTCTTTTTTGTTTATTTTCTTCTCTTGCTGTTGGAATGGCGTGCACTCAACACGTTTTAGCAGCTCTGTTTTTCAACGCTACAAACTCAAAATTTAAGTGAATTTTTCTTGTTTGTGGTTTATAATGTTAAGTGTTTTTAATTATGTGACTAAAGTTTATTGTTGTTAAGTGGGTTTTGATTTCTAATAAACAAATTTTTAAGAAGGCATGTCTTCATTTTCGCGACGATAAGGTCAAATTGGACTATTGTGAAGCTTCATATTTTGCTGAGATTTGAGTTAATTTTTCATTGCGGTTTAGTTGCGAGACGATTTCTATTGGCTGATGTTGATTTAATGCGCCGTAGCTATTGTGTCACTTCTGACTAAATTTATTTCTCCACGCAACGATTCCGTTTGTGATGTTGTTCGTGAACTTTTGGCTGCGTTCTCGTTTTATATGTAATAAATATTTTTTTTACAGCTTACGCCTCATCTTCTAGATCTCCTCACTCAGCACTGTTGGGATAAATATTTGAATATTTTTGGTTTTGCTTTTAATGCTTCAAATAAAAGTTCAGTCGCTTGCCATGGCACTTCATAAAATTATTATTATTTGTTAACAGCGTTTTGTACGCAGTTTCATCGTTTAGATCTTTCCTGGCGCTATGGACATGGTGATATTTAGAGCTAAACCTAATAAACTAGTTCGGTTATTTAGGAGTTAATCACTGAACATAGATTGTGAATGTCCTAGAGAAAATGTCAGAAGACCAAAAAATTGAATATTTTGAAATGGCCACCAATTAATGCCTATATTGTTTTCAACGATTTTCGAATACAAACTGAAATTAATAACAATAAATAATGTTAACAGTTTTTTAATGATAGTAGTGGTGAGCAAAGTCGGTAGCAAATTTGAAGAATGTTGTGATGAGAATAGGACGTTTGATTTGTGAGAGTAGGTGGCGAATTACAGTACATTGTTCCATGCTCTGTAACAATTAGATGCATTCAAGCAAAAGTTCTCGAGTAGTTGTTTTTAAGATGTCTATAAAATTTATTAGAAACTAATTAGGTGAAACATAATTAAATAATTTGAACAGTACCTAATAATATAAAGACTAGAGTTGAGAAATATTACATGACGATATGGCTAGAGGGTTCGAGCCGAGACTCGAAGCCGATGTGTGTCAAGAAATGTCGGGTAATATTTCGAAAATGTTATCTATTTCATAAGGAACCAACTTCTTTTGATTTTATTCGATAGTTGCCAATGAAAACCAAATAAATGTATCGAAATTCGCGTATGCTCATTGTTTATTTAAAATGATCATTATCATTCACTACTTTCGTTTTAAAATCAATGGACTTTTAATCAACGATTAACAAACTAAATAAATTAAAAAACACTCGGCGAATTTAGGAAAAAAAAATGACGTTATAAGCAAAAAAAAGGTTGTCAGCCACAAATGTTGGCCCCCCGTCAAAATTCAAAATTTCGGTCCACCCGGTCGACACATACATTTTCAAAAATATTTCCCCTCTCGGTCAACGTTAAACACTATTCGAAAATTGATTTCAGTGCTGTGGCGCTAGTCAATGTTTACATCTTCGAATTGTGAACTGCTCCAACCATGAAAGGAAAACTTTGAATATCTGGTAATTTGTATGATTTTTTCAAATGATTTCTCTCCATTGTTGGTATGAGGTGTTCTGCAGTCCAATTAATTGGCAGCTGATGTTGAGTTACATCATTCTTATCATCGTTCAAACTCATTTTCTGAAATTTTATTGAAGTCTGTAGTTGTAGGTTAAAATTCATAAAATTTGTTTGATTGATCGTGGTAATTTGCGATAAATTCTTTAAACAACTTACCTTTTTTTGTCTTTCTTCAATTCTTTCTTGTACATAGCAGGGTATGCCTCCGTTACTCCTACCATTGTAACGATTCACAAATGATTCAGAAAACTTTGAGATTCGTTTAGACTTTGACAATTAAATTATTTTGTAAATTAGTAATAACTTATAGCCACTATTTGACAAATCATTATTGATTTTTTTTTAATATCTTACTTTGTCCATTTCAACTGGTATAGTGGCTGGGACGGGTTGACCGTTTGAAGTATCATAATAGCTGCTGCTTTTAAATGTGCTCCTGTGATTCTTACCAATATTTAGTTTATGTAGATTACATTTATTTACATGAACATTCGCTGTAGTTGTCTTTTTTCCTAAAACAGGTTTCTTTATTGCAGCAAATTTATCAACTTTACTGAGTTTCGATAGTGAGCTGTCCTTATCCAGTCCTTCAATCATCTTTTGTTTCCTCGATTTTTTATTATTTTTTTTTCGCTTTAACTTTTTAGTGGATGATTTATTAGGGCGTACGTCCTCGTCCTCTGACGACGAACTGCTGAAATCACTGTCTCTGGAATTTATTGGAATATATTAAGAAGTCGGAAATTTTTATTTTCAATTTTATTTTAGTTTATCTGGACAATTAAAGTAAAAAAATTGTTTGATTAATTTGCTTTAATTTTATGTTGTCAATTTAAAGTTTTTATTGTCTAGTAAGTGCACTCACCTTCTTCAAAAAACCTTCTTTTTTTTAGAAAAAAATAAGTTGCAGAAAATATCAAATACAATCATGTTTCACAGACTTTGATTTATCATTCAATTTGAGAATGTGTTTGAATAACGGAAAATAATTGTAGAACATAAACTAAATAAATTTTCATAAAACAAAAAATGAACTAACTCCGAATCCTCATCGAGATCAGAAACCAGGCATTTCTCAATCATTTGAAAGTTGTTTAGCATGTTTTGATGGAAGTTTTCGCCAGAATTGCATTCGACGTTGCAGTTTGATTTAAGAGAGTACTTCTCCACTAGGGCTGACATAATCTCATTTAGAACTTGCCTTTCAGTGCTTATACAATGTCGTTGTTGTGATACAATTAAATATTTCAACGTTTGAAATAATATCATTCATTTATGAATATATAAAATTTTTTTAATGGAAATTATTTGAAAACTTCACTAAAGGCTGCATTATTGTACGCTTTTGTTAAATTATTATTTTAAATATTGTTAAACACGCCATCAATATCACACTATCACATTTGTCGTTTTCAGTTAATTGTAAAAAAGTTAACAAAAATTATTACTCTTATTCATCGGCGAACCACCTACTTGATATTGCGCTTCAAAGAATCGTAAGTAACAAGCACTTGGCACAAGGATTTGCCAATCTCTTCAAAGTCTTCGATGTCGTAATGCCTTCAAGTAATTTTAGTTCTTTTTTTAAATTTAGGCCAAAATAACTTTTTGGTTGTTGTTATGCAGCGTAAATATTTATCAGATTGGCAAGTTTGCTCATTTGATATCAAAGGCGAAGCGAAGCAATGGGGAGCATTGGGAATGAAGTCCCAACCATGAAAAATTTTGCTAAGATTAACGCTAAAATGAAATTAGGACTGAAAACTATTTAGCCTCCCAAAACAGTGAAATTAGAATAAATTTCGCATAAAACCACAGATTTTAATAGCAAAATTAGTTTAAAATTAAGTGAGAAAAAGGTCGCCAAAAGTATTTTCAAACAAACTGAAATTTCTGCCCACGCCGTTTTATTATTATGTTGTAACTATTCTTATTTATACCTTTATTTATTTATTTATTTTAATAATTCTCTTACTTAACTTGATTTTTTTCATATTGGTGTGATAGTTACAGTTTCACTTATTTAAAGAAACATGACAGACTTATAGTAATTTTTCTTTTATGTTATGTTATGTGACGCCATGTTTTATTATGTTACGTTACGTTACAACTGACTCCATTTAATCTAAAACAATGAAAATGTTACTTGGACGATGGTGAACCAGAAAAGGTTGCCTCCAGCGTGTAGCTGTTTTCCACGTTGAATTGTTTGAAGACCACTGCTCTTCCTGTCGACTCCTTGTTTTTCTTAATGTGGAAGGTGCATCCACTAAATAGAAATTTCTCAGGACTCTTCGTGTGGTTAGTTTTGATATGAGTTCAGACGTTCGTCAATTAATTTAGTAGCTGGTGAAACTAAATTATAGTAGCTAATAAGTAATTAGTAGCTAATTAGTAATTAGTAGCTAATTTGTAATTAGTAGCTAATTAGTAATTAGTAGCTAATTTATTTAAACTTAGAGCAAAAATAAAAAAAAACCTGTTTAGCCATGAGCCAAGGAATCAACCTACTTTGCAAATATAACTCTGGGTTGAAGCTAAGTAGATTTTCTCGAGAACATCCATACATGAAGACGTCGTGCTTCTGACTGTGTCCATGTAGGTCGCAATACAAAACGATCTGCAAATTCAATGATCAAAATGCTCAAACAAACGACATGTTTGAAAATAATAATCAAATTTTTATAACAAAGTATTGTTAAAAAAACCTTATCCTTCATTTTTTCTAGCATTTTTTTAAAATGATAAATTGTTGGATACAAATGGCAGTCCTGCTGGTTGAACGTTCGGTTCAAGTCTTTTCCCGCCAGTGAACATCTGCAGGGTTGTTGTAACAACAACCTTATGCTTAAAATATGTGCGGGAAGTAAAAGAACATAGGCAATCGTTTGCATTTGAAAGGAAGAGACAAGAAGCGAAACCTGTAATTGCCGACAATGACGCCATCTGGATTCAACATGGGAATTATATGGAAAGCAAATAATTTGCGAAGCTCCTGATAAAATTTTTCATAATTGTTGAAGTGGAAAATTCTCACTAATAAAAAGCCAATAATGTTTTATACATTTTAGTAAATGAACATTTTTCTCTCAAAACAATTTTGATGGGATTGGTAAAAGATTATTTTGAAAGTAGAAATATAAAAAAAAATAACTTGAGCTGAAGAAGAATAAGAAGTAAGGTAATCGAGAAGGCCTTTGACGATCAAACTACTGTTGGACTCACCTGGGTGCACCCTTGCTGTTATCACGGCCACCTTCTTGTCTCTGTTTACAGCAACTGGAGGTACAATTGATGTAATGCAATATATTTTTATTTGAAAATTTTACGGCGATGTAATAAACGTTGATAATGGGAATTTAATTCTATATTGTTGGGTTATTTTGCAAACATTAAAATAATAAATAATCGTGGCCGTCGTGAGCCTTGAATGAAATTGTGATAACATGAATCATCAACAGCGATGTGGAAGCAGGTGTTTCCAGCCAACGTGCTGCACAGGGAGTTCAGTTGGACCAACATCGGACGGGTGCTCACCAGCTCACTGAGATCTTGTTGCAGGTTTGTGTAGTTGTAGGGATAGCAGTGGGCCATGAAGCAAGTGTCGTTGTCTTGCGGGAAGGTCTGTTTTGTTTTGCATGTTATTTTTCATCAGTCTCATAAATTTGACACTTCAAGCTGTAAATCAGTATTGAAGATTTTTATGCAAATGCTTTAAGGATCTACATAACAAGGTTGTGCTCACCACATCCCACTCAAGCGTGTAGTAAGATTTTCCACTGCGTAGATATGAGAAACGTTGAACGAAATCAACATTTGTTTGTCGGTATCGAACGTTGGATCCACTTCGAAACCATCCAATCTTATATTTTTCTGCCAAGTGTTCTGAGTACACCAAAGGCTGCATACCTGTTTGTGCGAATGTACTGTTGTCACAATTTTTTCAAGTTGGCAGTGCATTTAACAATTAATAAAAATCAACAAAACCTCTAAAAACAAACCTTGAGAATATAAATTATGCTTTTTAGAGAAATTTATAATTTTGAAGTTGTACCATTTATTTCGTATCATATTTCTTACTCTAAAATAAAACCATTGTGTGTGGCCCAACGTACTTAGGTCGTTGCGAATTAACAAAATATATTGCTGAGGTGATCTGGTGAAACAAAATTGTTTTCAAATCAATTAATCAGTCAGTCAATCAATCAATCAGTCAATCAATCAATCAGTCAATCAATCAATCAATCAATCAATCAATCAATCAATCAATCAATCAATCAATCAATCAATCAATCAATCAATCAATCAATCAGTCAATCAATCAATCAATCAGTCAGTCAATCAATCAATCAATCAATTAATCATTTACTGGATTTTATGCTGTTACTTTTTTTTAAATTTGACAAAAAACATATTTATGTAAGTGCTTTAAGGATCTACATAACAAGATTTTGCTCACGTTAATCTAACGTTAACCTAAACATATTTAAATGATTGAAAAAAACACATGCAACTGAACAATATGGGTGGGTGTCTCTCACTGCATTTGAAGATTGCCACTGCAACAAGGAACCTTAGATTTTGAACGTTATGCCGCAAACCATTGAAAATAGAAATAAATTTTAGTTCAAACATAAACTTTCTAACACTCTCCAGGCTTGATACAAATTTCCTGATTCAAATCTTGATTCAAATTCTAAAGCTGACATGGGATTCAAATTGTCGGGTGCAATTGAATGGTTGGTCTTTGGAGATCGTTTTGAGATGTTGAATATCTCATGCAAACATTTCAGTGCTGTGTCTGCGTTCTCGTCTGCTACGCTGGTAAATTAAAAATAAATTCTAGATAAATTATTTCATTTTTTACTTAACAAAAGTTCATAAAATTTCAAAAACATTTATACTATAGTTTTTAAACTTAGAAATATTTAAGACCTAATTCAAACAAAATTTCTCAGAAAATTTTGTTACGATATTTTAATTACCTTAAATTCACTGGAGTGGCTGTGCAATGACTGAAGGATACCGAACCATACTTCCGAATGTGAACGGGTGTAGGGACTAACGGGGAATAATTTTTCGGCCAGAAAGGTCCATGTACAAAACGTACAAATCCATATTTGTCTGCATAAGTCCCTGGTCTGATGGAAGTCAAGTCAGATCCGTCCGGCATTTTACCGGTTCTCAAGGCATTTTTGAAAGCATCAGCGCTGTGAAAGTAGTTGTACAACTGCACGTGCTCTGCAGTTAAACTGGCAAAGTTTTCAAATGCTGCTCTCATTATATTTGAATAGTAAGTGTTGTGGCTGTGTGCGCCAGGCTTGTCGCTAGTGGACCTAAACGTTGATGAAAGCAAGTGCATGCGGGATAAGTCTGTAGAATTTTTAAAATAAGTTTTTTCAGGTTCGTCTCTGAGCATTTCCGATCGAAATGTTACAAACTTTTCTAAATCAAAAGTATTTAACGTCTTAGAATGAGGCGTGTTAGTGGCATGCTCGTCGTGTAGATTACATTTATCCGGGGTCAAACCGTTTGTGAACTGCTCATTTGGATGAAACAATTTTGAAAATTGAACAAATAAAATTCCTTCCAAGCTCTGCATCGAATTCACTTCCAAACTTTTTTTCTTTTCCAGCCTTTCATTTTCCTCTTGAACATCTGAGTTAGTGAAATTAATTAATCGAGTTTACACATCGTTGTAGATTGTTAAAAACTTAAGATTTAACACTGAAAATTTCGAAATCTTTCTTACGCCAAACCGATTTCTCAGATATATATTACCATGTTAATATTTTAAAAACAGTATTAGCATGTTCGATTTAATGATAGTAATTGTAGGCGACGAATAATGAACGACGCTTTTGACTTTATATAATCAAAATGAAACAACACGGTGAACCTTTTGAGATTTTCACTGATCTGGTGCAACTATTGGGAACGTAACACGATGCAACATTGTGTTCATTCATGTTGGAATTATCATTCGACGTTTAATTACATTTAAAATCATTAGTTTATGCATACCTGTATGTGTGTGGCATTTTGAGCTAAACACGATCGTGTGACAGATTTTAACTTATTTACCTTAGTAACCATGTTAAGTGGTACACGTGAATTATAAGTTTGAATAGCGACAAATTTTAAATACACAAAAAATTAAATGAATAAAATAATTTTCTACATATTGTTTGATAACTATCAACAATAGCAACAACTTTCCACAATCATCAAAAAATTCTAGAGATATACACACGCGAATATAAACAATGCTTCTACAACAACATTAAATGCATTCACACTGCTTGTTTTTTTTATCGTTAATGAGACGGAATGTTCGCGAGCACAAGCCCAGGTCAACGATTAAATACAGAAATAAATAATCACGTGCTTCATGAAATAAAGCAAATTATTAACTTATATTTCGATTTCCAACTTAAAACCAATTAATAAGGTGAATTACGCGAGGACCGTATAGCCATTTGAAGAGAGAGTTAACGGACTTTCCAGACTGTAATCATTGGCCGGTAGGTTTTCGCGACTGTAACTTGGATTTCCAAACGTTATGTAATTACTTTTCTTGCTAACTTTACGGCGTCTGTAGAGGACCAACGCCGTGCCAGCAGCTGACAAGAGGGCGGCGATGGCCACGCCAAGTGCCACGCCACTTGAGGTGCCCTCCAGATTGCTTAATTCTTCCTTCATTAACCTCTGTTCTTCAGCTTTTCCGAAATGTTCGACGATTGCATCACCGGATGCATCTGCTTGGAAGATTAAAGTGCAAATTAATAACTATCGATTTTATGGATTGTTCCTTTAAAAAATTAGTTGAAAAATAACTTTGAAAAATAAAACTCTTTTATTCAAAATTTCAAATTTCAATGAATACTTGTTAAGTCTTCAGAGTAAGAATCCGTCACGAATGTATCATTTTGTCTTGTAGTTGTTAGTGAGGGAGCTTTCGTAAATTCTTCTTCAAAGGGACTGTCCGTAGATTTTAATTTGCTATCATCTTCATATGTGGGCATAGAAGGAATACTAAAACTAAAATTACTATAACCAGTTCTCGTTGCGTAATTCTTTGAAGCATTCATTAGGTTATTTTGAAAATTTTGGGTGGACGCAGTGTAAACGTTTGTCATCTGAGATGGCGACGTTGTCATACTAAAAATTTGATGTTCGAACGTATTAATTTTGTTACTTTTTCTGGAGCCATTAAATACTGAAGACATTTTAGACGTACTATGTAAAAATTCGGGCTTACCGATATCTGAATGGGTAAAGTAAATAGTAAATGGATTGTTTTATGTACACTCATGTCGTAGAATATTTAAAAATAAGTACATACTTCTTTCTAAGTACACGGTTTTAACATTCCAAACTTTATTTGAAGGGTCTTGTAATTGGCAGGTATACATAGATTTGAAGATATCTTCCCTATCTACGCTAATGATTAAAATGACCTGATCCTCTGTTGTCTCTACTCTAGTTCTGTAACAAAGCAAAACAAAACAAACATGTTATTTTAATTCAATTTCTCTTTTATGATTTTAGTATTTATTATAAAATCAATTTTAGTGTATTTGAAGGAAAACAAAAAATAGAGAAAAAACAGTTCTGCCCACCTACCCGTCTAATTCGGCATTACTTTCCGTTGAATTAATCCAAAATAATTTCCACAGATTGGTCATTGACTGGTTCGAAAATTTTTGCATTAAAGCTTTCTGAACGGAATATCCATTGTCAGTATTTTCCGCAAACAACGAAGAATTAATATCGTTTGTTCCACATGTTAAGTTGACAATTTTTCCAATTTCGGCAAAAATTCTTTCTTTCCTAGAAGCAATGTTTGAGTATTTTAAGTCCGTCGAAATGTTTATGATTTCTGAAGTGGTGAAAGTTATTTGAGTTGTCATTGGTATGTCAGTGCTTGCCTCCGTTGACGAAGTGCCCTGAAGAATAGCTGTTGATGGAAGTTTTGTCATGCGGTCAATGTTTCTACCAGTATTTATTAAATTTTCATCTCTATATAAAAGCATTTTCGTTTTCAAATCATCCTTGGAGTCGTTTGTTTCCGGTGCCAATAAAATATTTTGAGTAGTAAAAGTTGTTGAGGTAGTGAGATCAAACGTACGAGAATTATTCACCAAGATTGTATGTGGGGTGATGAATTGTTTTTCGAGAGCAGCAGCTGTTGAAATGTTGGATTGGACTGGCGCGCTGTTGTTGGAACTTTCGATAGAAGACAGATCGATTATGTCAGAATTTACATGGGAAATTTTCTGGATGGTTGATGAATTATATATATGTCCTTGAGCACTATCCTTTAAGTTATCGTATGTTAGATTGTTTGTTTCATTATTTAAAATGTTGTTGCTCGTTTTTGAATGAAACAAATCATCGGTGTCCGCTTGAGCAATTGCGCAAACGCAGCTACAAATTAACAATGACCAAATTACTTTTGATTTCATTTTTTCAGTAGATAAAGTTTTATATTAATACTATTTCATTTATTTTATTAGGTATTCAAATATAATAGACCGTCGATGATTAAAATTTAATATAACTTCCAATGCGTGAGAAACCAATTGTTTAAAAAGAATTGAATGAAAGTAAAAATATCAAATAAAGTCTTTCAGTATTCTTAAAAGATCGTCTCAAGTCGCAAATCAAATTGTATGGCAATCCGTATGACGTGGCGTACAGTTGATGCACAACGAGCTGTACGAGCACGGAGGGACGGATTTGCTGCAGCAAGTTGCTGGAAAGCGTTCGTACGTGTCTGTATACATTATGTTTATGAAGACGCGCATGTTACTTTAATTAAATTATCTATTTTGCATCTCCCTTTATGTGATGACGTTTATGTAAATGCATAACTGACCACGTAAATATATTTTGATTGGAATATTATATCTCAAAATATTTCAAAATCATTTTTATATCTTTTAACACACATCTTTTGCCATCTTTTAGAATTATAAATTTAAAAAATTATGAATAAGCATCTAGGGGCGAACAATTTTGATTTAATAAAAATGATCATTCAGCTATATAAATAACTTGTGGCGTTATAGGGTAACCATTGCAAAAATTATGTATTTTATCTCAATGATAACCACATACTAAGATGTTAAACACATTCATAAAACAATATCTGTCTAATCAAAAACTAAGATAAATTTATAAAACATATACACGGAACGCAGTCTGACATTATAAAATATATCATATACTTACATAATATTTATTAATACACGTGGAATTTCAGTATAGCAATCAAATAATAGTACGTGGTGGGCTTAAAATTGTCGGATCCTCAAAATAAATAAAAACACCACTAACTAACAAAGTGATTCATGGGAGCTATATAAGGAAAAAACTGCGATACTATGTTTGTAGCATATATATATATATATATATATATATATATATATATATATATATATATATATATATATATATATATATATATATATATATATATATATATATATATATATATATATATATATATATATATGTCATTCTCCGTCAACTTGAACGATTTAAAAAAAAGTCCACGCCCGACCATCTCCGATGTTTTTTAAATTTGAACAGTAAGTACCTCAATGTATTTCATCGACAAAATAAAATTTTTATAAAAAAATTTCAATTATTTTTCAAGTTATGAAGATTTTTGTGACAGCATCGTCAAATTTTTGAGCGATTTTTTTCAAAACTTGTACCTACGTAGAACGCTATATCTCTTGAACTAGCCAACATATCTTGATGAAATTTTTTGTGCATATCAGTGAAACAATGAAATAACAAAAAAAATAAATGTTATTGTCTCGAATCAAAGGATATTTTGAACAAAAAATCTAGAAAAAAATGAATTTTTTGAAAATTTCACCGATTTCAAAACAGCGTAGCTCAAAATCTATCGCAAAATAAATAAATATTTTTTATATAATATTTTGAGTTATGTGAATTTTTCCAACATAAGAAATGTTATCATCAGGTATAAGAATCAAAATATGTTTAAATGGTACATAGCAAATATCTATATTTTTAGGCCAATAAAAAATATTTTCTTTAAATTTCTTCAGACAGTTAACTTTTAAATCATCATTTTTATCATCTCTTTTTATAATGTTTACTAAATACCATTTCTTATTATAGACCAAAGCTACAAATCGACCCGGCTCATAATCATCATTGGTGTCTTCACTTTCATTTTTATTAAAATTGTATCCAAATAAATCTGAAGACAAACGTTTCATCAAAAGTTGATCATTTTTGTCTGGAATAAATGAGTGATGACTTCGACAACCCTTTATTTTATCTGCTGACCTAAATCTTTTTCAAGCATTCCTAGCAGATCTTTAATTTCTTTTTTGTCTACCCAAAAAAATTTAATACCATTTATTTTCGCATCAGCGTATGTGTAAAAATCTCTGGCGTTCAATATCTGATCTTTTGTTGATGCCTGCAAACTTGCTCTTGCAACCAATCTTTTTGTTGTCCCTCCAATTCCATCGCAAGGACTTTTACCATGAAAAGTTGCAAAAAAGTGCCATTCTGCTTTTAATCCAAAATCCTCTTTGTGATGAATTAAATTAGAAAAATTTTTGTATTGACTTACCGCACCATCAGAAAAATATTTAATTAAAGTAACGTTTTTCAGGTTTTGTTTTACATAGTTAATTAAATGTTTTTGAAAAGCATAAACAGCGGAAACATTGTGATCGAGACAGTCGCTAATCATGCAAACACTTTTGACAGATAAGTTTTCATAAATAAATAAATAAGTTTCTGTAATAAAGAACAATTGGGTGAAGAGTAACTTGCGTGTTGCTCCAATGTTGACTCTGGATTGCATCCTGTATTATCACC